TATATATATTAGAATCTAGAGAGTAAAGCCTAACGAAGTCTAACACTAACACACAAAAGAGTAGGTTTAGTTACTGAATTACTAAAAGAATACAATTAGTCAAATCAGCCTGCACCAAAGGAAAGTGAGTGGGAATGGGACACAATAGTGGACCCTACACTTGGGAGAACACTTTATAGGCTTTATTATGCCTCATTAAAAGAGACCGCTGTGACTCGCAACTACCCTCATACAACTTATCCATTGCAGTTTTCTGCACAGACCTCTCTTGACCAAAATGTCAAAGGTAGGAGGTCAATGGAGTGACTTCTATAGGTGGGTGAGTAAAGTGGCTCCTTTATTCTAAGAGGGCAGAGCTGTAACTCGATTCATTAATTGAGGCTTCTGGCATGGGCCACCATTCCACATGGGCAGACTTGAAGATCATTTAATTAAAGAGAAAATCCTCTATACAATATGTATGTGCTTTGAAGACAACGACTCGCGATAATGTCTGCGCAGTTGGGCAAACGAAAACAGTCCCTTAGGTCATTACTTTTAATCCTAGGAATAACATGCCATGATTCGAGCGTTATTCGTTCTGTGAATTAATTGCAAACGAATATTGAGAATGGTGTGATTCAAAGGAGTTTTTTTCATTTTATACAAAATGCAAAGTTGAAAGTTTGCAAACATGCAAATGGTTAATAATCGATGTTATATATGTGAAGCTCAACACTAGTTTTCACAGTTACTGATAGTTTCATAGTTATGAGCAATCATTACATAGATGAAATCGATCTAAATTCACCCACAACTCCTAAAACAATTATTTTCTAATTCTTGTAAGCTAAGTATATTATTGTTCTCTACAAATTAGAACGAAAAATGTGTGTACGTTAATTCTTGCCTGTTGTGTAGGCTGTAAATTATTGTACTGAACGGCATATGATTATGTTTAAATAAAATGCTGAATCATCACTTAATGGTTTTCGATCCATATAAAAAAGATAAACTGTTTTAGTGAAATATTAAAATAAATATTATTTGAAATAAAATAACATCGTAATTTGTACCCAGAACTTAAAAAAACAAATGTAACAAACTAAATATGGGAACGAAAAATGGAGATTGCATTTTCAGATTTATTTGATGTGAACATTAATTTAATTCGATTTAAACTAAAAGCCAATAAAAAGTTTTCCCAGGTGGTTAGCGTTAAAACGCCACTTACATCATAAGTGTGATTAAATTGTTGCTGTAAAGTGTTCGTGAGAACAATATAAAAGAAGACTGCAAGATGTGTGATTACCTTGTTTTGTATTGTTCTAATGAAATAAATTATCGGGTGATATAATCTATCAATACTGTACACAGTATCTAAATTTATATAGTAAATTCAGTTAAATGAATTGGATAGAACGTCTGTTATTTTTCTTTTTAAATGTGTCTTACAATGACACTATTATGATGTTTATTCGTTGAAAAATATTTTTTGGGCTGGTACTATAACTACTTGTAGATCGTTATCATGACTTCCAAAGCTTTGCATTAAACAAATTGTGTTGCCTCACTGTGAAACTGGTGAATGATATGGGAATTAGTTTATAAATTTACATTCTTAAATAAATATATTGAAACATCTTAGTATTTAAGATACTTCTATATAAATTAAAGCTGGAGAATAGAACACCGTAAACAAATGCAGAGTTGCTGCCTATAATGATCTATTAGGTTAGATTAGTTTTCCCCCAGAATAAAACATAGCTGATTAGATAACAGAAGAAAAGCTACGATTCTACTCCATATGCTCTTTGCTGTTTTATAATTAGTCCTTTCCTCGTCATAGTTACGAAAAACTCGTAAAAAAAAAAAAAGAAAAGGTTTAGGTACGAAATATGTAATTACAGTTCTGAGATGCTCCAGATTTGGCATGTAAATCCCATTTCAGGATTTGAATCCCAGTATGCTCGATACCATTCTCTGTCCCAATCATGATTTGCATATCGGAGACTTTTTTTTTATGATTTATTTTTATCTTCTTTCATATGTCTGCTGTTCACGCCTATGCAAATATAGAGTGAATTCAAGAACAAGAGCGACACCTACCTGCGAACCCGGGCACTGACCTAGATTTACCTTACATTAGACTTCTGAAAAAAGAAACTCACATTCACTTACGTCTCCTCAAAAGGGAAACATTACTTTGTTAAAAAAAAAATCGCAATATTCAGATAAACGGCGTATGCATGGGATTTGATGTTGTGGATGTTATGAAAGTAAGAGGGGTCCTACTCAGTTCCTGCATTCTTTGTAATGCCAATTCCTGCATAAAATCGAATTCATTAGTAAAGGTCACTGCTTGATTGCTTAGCATGGAGCAGGGCATTGGTTAAAATTAATGAGGTTAACACATTCACAGCCAATGAGAATCGACACATAAATGCTGCGTGGCTTATAAAAGGCTCCTCATTCATTAGCCTCCCATATGAAAATGATACAAACAGACATTGGAGTAATTGTATGAGAAGGAAGAAAGAAAGAAAGAAAGAAAGAAAGAAAGAAAGAAAGAAAGAAAGAAAGAAAGAAAGAAAGAAATCCTTTGAGTGTGAGGGGAAAAAGAGAAACAAAGAGGAAGGCATTTTAAAAAGGGAAGTTAAATTTGTATTATTCACTAAGAAATAAATCAGAAAAAAAGGTTCATATATTTATATTACAAAAACAGCATAAATCATTGTACATCGGATTTAATTCCATAATTTACTTCAAAGATAGTGATGATTCATTTAAATACAAAATGCTACATTAAATATACAGGCTCATATTGATACAAATTATGAATCTCCTTGAAACTGGTTTAAGACATACTGAGACCAGCAAGAGTTAATTCCGCAGTAGCCTTTAGGTTTTAGAATGTTTTGAATGATTAAACTTTCTTGATGGCGAACTGGTAAACGGTCAAGGCATATTATGTTTAAATAAATTAAAGTAAGTCCCAACACTGGCAGAAGAATCCAGAATTAAAGGCTGGACATACCTTTCTTTATTTCGTAAGCAGCGTCTTTGCTAAGGTCTGCTTGAGACTGACTTCTAAGTTTACACTCTTTGACCATACCTTCAGCTCTGTTTAACACAGTCTGGGTTAATCCATTGAAATGTGCATTGTTGTTGTCTGAAGCAGTTGTATTTGGTCCATGGTGGCTGTGCAAATGACCAAAAGAGCCATAGTTCGTGTAGCCGGGGTAAAATGGGGTGCTGTAGTAAAGGGGCCGGGATAACACAGTGTTATTAGGGAGGTGACACGTTGCTGCAGGGGATTTGGAAAGGGGGGACAAACCGCCAAGCATGGACTGGACTGTAGTTGACCGTGTTCCAGCTGTGATGTCACTGTTTTCTTTAGACTTGTCCGAGGAGGTTGCAATCTCTGCCAAGGACCACAATTTGGGTTTGGAAGCAGACGCAGGAGGCGAGTGTATAACTGATGCGGCATTGCTGATAACCATGCCATGATGAAGTGGGGTGCGCCTATGCACAAGGTCTATTGGGCGGGGCTGCTGATGGTGCTGGTGCTGAGGGTGCTGGGTTGCCTGATGAGGGTGGTGGTGATGATGATGGTGAATATGGCGATTATGTACAGTCTGTTCTTCCTGGGCCTGGCCAGACTGGCAAATAGGTGGAGAAGTTGGAGCAGAGCCTTTAGAGAGATTATCACTGGTCTCTTCAGTTTCTTTTAACTCGGAATCACTCCTGATTGAGACCAAATCCTTCTCCTGAAGATTTTCATGTTCCAAACGATCGTAATTGTCCATGGCCGGACTCTGCTTTCCTGTTTATAAAAACAGAGGATTATTTACAACATCCAGAACTAACTGTCCCTTGCCACTAAACAGAAACTGCCTGCATAAATAAGGACTACTGGATTTCACTAAGCCTCTGCCCAGTGGTTTTTACTGGAGGCACTCTAAGTGATATATAACGTTCTATAAAATAACCAAACACACACTTCAACATCTCCTCGATGCATTTAATCAGTTAAGAAAAACTAACCTGTGTCTACATCCAGCTCCCCTTTCTCGTCTGGTTTTAGAGGCTCTTCTTCGTCATTTTTCTCCAGATCAATGTTTTCCTCGTCCTCTTCATCTTCACTTCTGTTTCTGGGCGTCCAAGTCATCTTGTTCTCCTTTTTAAGCCTCCTTCTGGCATTGGCAAACCAGGTGGACACTTGGGTGAGCGTCATCTTGGTAATGATGGCCAGCATAATCTTTTCTCCCTTGGTGGGATAAGGGTTCTTCCTATGTTCATTCAGCCAGGCCTTTAAAGTGGCGGTGGCATCCCTGGTGGCATTCTTCCTGTATGCTGGATCACCATAAGGATAAGATCCCAAGGGGGAAGCGTAAGGATGGTACCCTAAAGAACCGGCCATGCTTGTTCCATGATCATACGGAGAGCCCTGAGGGGAGAAATAATAATGAGAAGTCTCACAAGGCATAATAAGACGTTCATCATTTTATTACATGCAAACAGAAATATAATTCACACACTTAATTTAAGGTTGTGTTCTTTTAGGGTGTCACTGAAAGAATAGATAATATTCAGATCAAGTAGGCTGAGGATGTTCCCACAATAAATCATGTACAATAAAGTTAACAAGGATTTTCTTTTCACATGATCGAGTAATTGAAGTGTATCTACAAACCATTTATTGTGGCAACATTTTCAAACGCTTTTAGTAAATCATCCTCACTGTGTTTGAATTGAAATCCAATCCAGGTAGAAGGGGGTGTCTATCTCCTTAGTCCTGGCCTAGGATTGCTGCAAGCCTGACTCCACCATAGCACAAAATGCTGTATTTATGATGGAGCCGACAGACCATACGGTACAGTAAACTGTGAGCTCTATATAGCTGGAAGCCAAACAACCGGAGAAATCTCCATCTAGACTTTAATTTCTCAGAGCTACCACACCTAGCTCTGGGTCTCTGACAGCCAGCCACGGAACTAGAAACATTTCACAAAGATTTAATTAAGTCAGTAGTCGCATGGGGCTTTATTCGCTTAATTAAATCAGAACTGGGCTGATAAAAGCATTAAGGAACATTTGTGACTTTTACAATGCCAATAGTAAATACACAGATACAGTACAAGCCCGCTCCTACCTATATGTGTCAATGAGGAGCTAGTTAGTAAGAAGAAAACAATTGGATGTACTTATATTTTCGCTAATTAGTGATAATGAGGAAATGCTGAGTGGGGAGACAGTTTACACCCAAGCGATATTTTATTACCAGCTGTTCTCATCATTGGATTTATCGCTAATAGATCGATAAAGTCCTGAGCAGTACGTTTACTGATTGTGAAATAACATTCTAAAGTATTCAGTCTCAGTTTGAAGTAAAACAGATTAAACAACTGGACGCTTTTAAGATCACATTTCGATTGGGTATGTTTCCTTCTAATGGAGGCATCCTCTGTAATTGGAAACATACTTCATATTTCAGATTAGACTTTGACTCATTCAGTGCTGGAAAAGTCAGAGACAGTATTGGCTGACAAACAGACTATATCGATTTTCCAGAATCGGTGTGGTTAATGTTCCTCCCCAAGGAGCTTTGCAGAACTTTTGATACAATCCTAGCTTGTAGCTGTTACTATGTAACCCAGAATCATTTTAGATCTAGCTTTCCAAAACTTTAGGCTATAGGATTACAAATATTGCAGCAAGTTTTCTGGCGATCCCTCTTGTTCTGGCGTACGCAGTCTCATTGTTTGCACAGAATTGTATAGGAGAAAGATCGGTATGATTGTGTGTGTGGTTAATTGTGTACTAGACGGGGCCCTAAGCAACCTGCTATGATGGTGTTTACAAGGCAGGGAGCCCCCATGGCTGTCTCGGCTGCTACAATTGTATCACATCTGGCCGTGGGAAGGGAACTTTTTCTGGGAGAGTCTGCTTCCAACCCTCCCCCCCCGCCCCCCATCTACACTCAGCCCTTGAGCCCTTTCTAACGAGCAGATCAGATACTGGACGAACAATCACAATTCTTACCACATAAGATGTAAAAGCAGCAGTGGGGTCCCCGCTATACTGGAGAGGAGAGTTAAAGCCAGCTGAGCTAGCTGTGAAAGCCGTGGATCCAGCATAAGGTGAGAAAGCAGAACCAGAAGAAGACCTTCCCAACTCATCAGTCCGGGGTCCAGAGATGATACTAGTGTTGTAAGCAGGGCAAGAGTACAACGCCAAAGAAGCAGATGGTTGATAGAAATAGCCCTGAGGATAGGACATGGCCAGACACATGCATACACTCTTATCTTTGGAGACACGCACAGTACAGGAAAAAAAATTGGGGGGCCACTTCTGCTAAGGGTTGCTTGGAGGGAAGTAAACTGAAGTTGCCAGTCTGGAGACGAGACGTAATGCTTGTTGCCTCTTGCCGCTGATATCTCTCTTTCTTTCTCTCCCTCTCTGCTCTTCTTGCTGGCTTGCTCCCTTGTATGATTTTTTTTGTGCTTTCCTTCTGTGCAGGGAGGGAGGGGAAAAGTTGGGTGGGAGTGTGGCTTGGTGTAGACTTTAGCTTTGGAAGCAGGAAAAGAGGTCCTGCTAAGTTGGAAAAACGAGGAATCTGACGGTCGACGCTCCTCCTTCGGGGTGTTGGCAGTGGAAAGGGATGGTGATGGGTCCGTCCAATTATCAACATGCTTTCTCCCTTTCTATGTTGACTCTCTCTCTCTTCCAAAGGGAAGTCTGCCCCTTGATGGCCATCAAACACAATGCAAGCTCTATAAAAGAACACCTCAACTTTCTGCACTAACTGTGCAAGCTTAGGTCACCGACTTCCCCTGCAGGGCTGCTGGGAAGAAACTGCAAACTCTTTACTGACTGGTCATGGCAGGATCTCAGCTTTGTATTAGCCTTTGTGCATGTTCCCCCCCTAATACTGCCCTGTACAATTGTTTCACCAGTGTGCATGCTAGCATGGGAGCGGGTTACACGTATTGCTTTGATAAGATGGCAAAGCAGAATTCGACAGAAAACCAACCATTTATTATAGAAGGTTGCATGAACGTCGCATGGCACTCAGGTAAATAAATAAAGATAGCAGATCGGTTGCCTGTTGCTTTGTCCTCATCTGTATTGTCACACAGTGTCTGGCTTTCATATACAACAACAATAACAATAGCAAATAATAACACACTAACGTTATCACCTTGAACTAGCGATCCTCTCATTCAAAGAAATGTGATTATAGAGGGACGAGGAGATGGGCTTTTAAGCGGGAGATTTAGCTAAGGATCTAAAGAAATAAAGGTATTTTACCCTTCTACATAAAACTCATAAACTGTTTTCCGAAAAAGCAGATTAAAACCACACAAAGTACAGTAAATCCCCATAGATCAGAGAATGTAATCTCCTTTGATCCTTCTAGATATATTTCTCAGAATGACAGAAATGATAGATAGATAGATAGATAGATAGATAGATAGATAGATAGATAGATAGATAGATAGATAGATAGTCGGCTTTAAGGTGTTATTTTACTCTGTCAAATGCAGACAATCAGACAGTGTAGGAATGATTTAGGAAAACTAAATAAATATGGCTGTTGCCCACAGCAGTCAGGGGCCATCGTTCATTCCCTTGGAAAATTAATCAAGGGATCTGATTGGTTGCTATGGATAGAAGCTCCAATTTTCTTTGCTGTAATTTTCATACAGCAGACCATTGTAATTAACACGCAAAGTAGTGCTTGCTTAGAATTCTCTTTGACTTTTTCTTGAACAGTTGCCAAACGTACTGTGCTATTTAGAACAAACCGGTCGTAAATCATGACAGCAGAGCACAGATCAAGGTGTCTGTGGTTTTAAGAGAAGAACATCCGGCATATATAATTGATATATGACAAGAGAATAAGATCTTTTTTAAACAGTCGGGATAGAGCACTGTTACATAAAAATACCCAGTAGAACTCAGGAGCATTTGGCATTTACACAATATTAAAATGGTATTTTCTTAATGCTAGCTATGGATTGTTTCACTTGACTCCTAATTTTCAGAAATAAGGTTGTAGGTAAATTGAATAAAATAAAATAAAATAAACGTCGACAGCCCATCCTAGCTGAGACACAGACCACTATGGAAAAGGATATGCACAATTATATATTCAATATCTGTGCCTGCAGTCCTGTCCCGGCGTGCTTGTTGTTCATGCGTGGTGCCCCAATTCTATCGATATTGTTGTGTAATTATTGACAGGAGCAGTAGATGATATCAGATACTGGTTAATAATGTATTTAGGGCAATGGGAAGGTGACACCTTGCTCTGTACCCTTTCAGGTCTTCTTGTAGTAGAATGGCTATCAGATCTTACTGCTTCTGTGCATTCACGGCTGAAGTCAAAAGAATGAAAAAGCAACGACTTGTGTTACTAATACTATACACACAAGAGTCGTGATTCTGCATCTCACTCTTTTAAGTAAGAGCTACAGATCTCATCTAGTTTTTCTACCCTGCAAACATTGGATAGAGATCAGAGTAACGTAAATACTAAGCGAGTTTACATAATTTCTTTGGAGCACAATTTTCCTCGGGGAAAGACCTTTAATTGGAGGCATGAGCGTTATCTTGAGGATTGTTGAGGATTGTATGGTTCCTGATTATTGATTCAATTCCCAGGCTTTTTACTAATTCAGTGTGTGTATTTATAGCGCGATCACAGGAGCCAGGCTTCCAATAATCATTTGCATGCGGGACGCCGAGGAGAGGCAGTGTTCATTACTGCACCAATAAAGAGTTAATCCCCAACTAATCTCGCACTGCCCAAATCTCTTTAACATAAATCCACTCCCGCCGTCTCCGATTGGGCAGCTGCCTTCAGACCTCTGCCTTCCCATTGGCCCGTGGGAGGCGCTAAACCATGGGAGCGAAAGGGTGCATCTTAAAGTAACGTCATGGCTCATTGATGCCCTGCTATGTGCCAATAATGACCTGCTCAGCTTCCACAAGCTTAAGCAGACAGTTAATAATTACGGGGATCCAGGGCAGAGGAGAGAGACAAGCTCCTACCGTATGTGTTCTATGCTTGCAGTAGTAAGTGCTGGAGAAAGGTAAGAGAGGGATCTTATGGGGATTGGGTTGTTTGTTAGTCCCACATGCTGCTCTTTTTTTTTCTTCTTCTTCTGTGCGTCAACTTGTGCTCTTGACAACACTGGAGTGTCCCTGAGACTTTGTTGGCCAACTTTTGTTTCCATTGTGGGAGGCTTGGAGACCTCTCATTTTCCTTGTCCTTTCAAGTGGAAAAAGATTTGAATGTGCCTGTCTACACACGGGATCAGAAGAGGGTCACAGCCACGTCCACTGATATTTACATGTCCGCAAATATGTAGAGATGGAGAGGGTACCCAGGCTATTCTTTTGTGACATAGCCCATTGAATAAATTGCGATAGCCCTTGGACCCGGTGTCATCATCTGTCATTGCTGAGCATTTCTTTTCCCCCCTTCCGTTAAATATGATCTTGTTTCCCTGTCACAGCGTTTGATTACTTTATATTATTGCCATAGGTTGGCCTATGGAGACAAACGTTTTATATGTGCAATTAAACAATCGTTTACGTTTTATTAACAGTGCTTGCAAATCTGTGATTTTTTTAATGCTTCGTTACACTTTTCACAGATGTGCTGCACTGCTACCGTGACATTTGCTAAATGATTTCAGTCCCTGGGGTTGAATATAAAACCGGGAAAGATAACGGACTTTATAGCGTTTAATAAGCACTCATCTCTCCCTTTGAGCACTGTAGAAAAATGAGCCCAGGACCAATTCTTCATTCATCTTCCTGCAGTTTGCTCTGATTTTTAGAATAGATTTTTTGTTCCACCTCATAGCTGATTAATAAAAGGTAATGTTTAAATCAGGTTCTTGCATTTACAGAGGCAAATGGTGATACGAACCGATAATATTTAGCTAAAATTACACCTGGTTCTTGCAGAGGAATAATGAATTGACCCTCCATTGAAGTCAATCCAAAACCATTAAAAATAAATGTTTTTGTTTGGCTGATTGACTCAAACGATCCCATCAACTGCTAGCTTACAAAGCATTTTACATTTAACCCTGAAACTTATACTTATATATGTTCTTAAGAATCCAAACCTCATTTTACAGTTTTATATCCACCAGGAATGTAGTATATTGTTAATTAATCATGTTAAACTGAGAAGCACTAATGTGATTTATTGCTTTATTTGTACTTTATGTCCTTTGCTAACTCAGGGTATGTTTCAAGCCTCCCATGCCTGTACAATAGGAAATACTATTGCATTAAAAACGTCATCATGTTTATAAATACAGTACATATCTTTGCATAAATCGCTAAATTGTTTTAATGTTTAACTGCATAACCTATGCAGTAACATTGTTTTTATTACTGTCGTTTTGTAACACATTGCATTCTTGGTATTTGATGATTATTTTGACATGTGACATAAAATACTTTGATGCTGAATAAATAACATATTCTGCAAACAGGGGTGCCCATGTAAAGCATAGGTATAGAACTATACAACCTATTTACACATAAATGATCTCTGAATGTTTTAAATATTGATTAAGCAGAGGATGACTTACTGGCTTCAGCTTTCACATCCAGTAGCCTTAAAAGCTCATTTTGTTGGTTTATGTTTATGATGGGTATAACAAAACTGAAACTGACAGCCTTTATACAGAGGGTATATAGAGGGGTGTGTTACATAACAGAAGAATTATAGGACACATTGAAACATTGTACAGGAGGAGAAGAAGGCTGCATGGACAATAGCAGGTATTAAAAGGATTGGCTGTTTGAGAAATATGTCAATGGCTGTCCATTGACATATAAATCAATAGGGGGAGCTTTATTTAGCTGGTAACTTTGCAACATTTTAACTTTTTTTCATTTTTAAACTGGGAAAAAAACATTGAATAAGGACCAGACAAACAGAACAAGCAACATTTATACTTGTCACTCACAGAGCAATTTTCAGGCAATTCTAACCACCCTCAGTGCACATGATTGCAAAAAGGACAAATAGTTCAAGGCAACCTACCTCAAGAGCTTCCATTGTTCAGTGATTTGAATAGAAGCTATTGGTGTATTGGTGTAGAGTTGCCTTGATCCATTTGGTCAACTTTGCAAAAGAGCTGGATTCAAATCTCAGCATTTGTAAAAAATAAAAAAAAAAGAAGGGACTTTTGTCCTTTAATTTACATAGTGGGTTATTGTTCTACTTATTACGATGTATGAACTGAAATAGTGCAGTAAACAAGAAAGTAAACAAATCAAGAAATGGAAAAGTAGCTATTGTGTGACGCAAACTTACATTCCCTTCAAACATCTAATTAGGATCAGAGGTGT